ATCCTGGTTTGCTCGTGCTCGTCTTCTTGTCTGGTAGGATCCTCTTTTGACCATCTTCGAGTTCTGTACAGGTTCTCCCTGGTTTTTAGCTAGTTTGGGGGGGGGGGGGGGGGGGGGGGGGGGGGGGGGGGGGGGGGGGGGGGGGGGGGGGGGGGTTCTGCAGATTATTCTTATGTTCCTCTGGCAGCCCTTCTGGGGGAGTAACTCCCCGGTGTCGTATTCTTCTGAGGATATCTACGGCTTCTTCTTCTTCTTCTTTCCAGTCGCGCATCCCTCGTTCCCTGCGGGTGGACAAGGGTGATGGGGCTGAGATTCTTCGGGAGGGTTCTAACCCGAAGGTGAGCCCTTCCACACCTTCCCGTCTCGGGGGTCACATACCTGTTTCAGGGCCGAAAGTTTCGGTCTTGGAGGAGGATGACAAGCGATGGGGCGTATCTCTGCCCAGAAGGTGTATGAGAAAGTTATTCAGCAAGGTCTTTCCATGGCGGGTCTCGAGCTAGAGAGGGAGGGCTTAGCCATCGTCCTGAATTGGGCCAGCCACCATCGATTCCAGGTAACCAAACTAATCTCCTGCTTTTTGCTTCTATGCTTAGTGATGTCGGTTGGTGATTTCCCAATTCCACTTTTTCTGTAGGCCAACATCATGAATGCGCACCTAGCCGCATATGCATCCGTTCTTCACAGCGAGTCTGTTTGAGCCCGTATATCGCTTGATCAGGCTCACTAGGAGGTCAAGCCTCTGGAGTACGAGGTTTCAGAGGCAGGTAATCTGCACGCCAAGATGGAGGAGCTCTGGACTCAGGTTTCCGAGGAGAGATGTGGGGCTGCCAAGGCGGAGGAGCTCCCCAAAAAACTGCGTCTAGAGCTCGACACTCTCATCTCTGCTTAAGAGTTGAGAATAGAGATGCTAACGAGCTGTGGTGCCCTCGCGGCCATTCATGGGTGCCAGAGGAGCGGCCTAGAGTGTTGGGACGAGGAAAGTCTTCGGGAGGTGTATCAGGCTGCGGCGGAGGAGGCTCTTGCTGCGAGGTTTAGTTCTGCTGCTCTTTATAATGTATGATTATTCTTCTTGCTATTCGGGGTCTTCTATTTATAGGGATAGAAGATCGGCTATGGCAAATTCTTTTTCCTTTTAGCTTTTGGGATAATTCCTTATTTCGGATATGGAAATATCCGTTTCTTTCTGATTAAGTGGAGATTTTCCATTATCTCTGAATATTCCTTTTGTCTTCAAGTCGGCGTGAGAATCCTTGTCTTGATGGGTTTGGGTTATTGTTGGAGAAAGTCTTTTTAGGAAATATGCCCATTTCTCCTCCAACAAATTTTGGTAGGCGCGTTGATAATGGGTGCATGCTTCTGACAGGGTTCGTATCATGCTATGAACTGTTCACAATCTTTGATCATTCTAGGCCAGAATAGTCCATGCTTCTTTATTTTCAAAACAAGAGCTCGCCCTCCGGAGTGGTTGCCACCTGCCCCTTCGTGAGTTTCTACCATTACTTTTTTGGCTTGTTTTTTGTCGCAGCATCGCAATATGACTTTGTTTGCCGTCAAACGAAACAGGTCGCCGTCTTGAACAAAATATTGAGATGCTTTTCTGCGGAGGCGTCTAGCTGCCCATCTATCTTGCAGGACCGTTCCTTCTAGTAAATATGCATTGATTTCATCTTGACATGGTTGTTTCTCTTGCTCGGCGTCGAGCTCTATTGGATCGTCATCTTCGTCTTCTTGATGCATAACTATATTGCATGTCCCTTTGGCTAGTTGGATGCTTGGTTGATCAATGGTTTCTATTGGGATTGTTCGGTGTAGTGCTGGGTCTGTGGATAATGCAAGCGCTGCTAATGCATTGGCGGCGGTGTTCTCGGTTTGCAGTATCTCTTTCAGTTTGAAAGAGTCGAATTGCTTGGTTATTTCCTGGACTTGTTTTAAGTAGATGTCCATCCGTTTGTTCTTGGCGTCGTAATTCCTATTAAACTGGCTGGCGACGAGCTGAGAGTCGTAAAAATCATGAATGGGTTTTGCTCCTACTTGTTTGCCGAGGTGGATCCCTGCGATTAATGCTTTGTACTCGGCTTCATTGTTCGAAGCTGGGAAGCTGAGCTTGAACGACAGTTCAAGAACTTCTCCCGTTGGCGATCCTAACCAGGTGCCGACTCCCAAACCTTGCTTTGAGGAAGCTCCATCAACATATAGGCTCCACTTGTTTTCAACAGGTGTTTCGTCATTAAATAGATCCGGGGGTATTTCTACTATAAAGTCAGCTAAGACCTGGGATTTGGCGCTGGTTCGAGCTCGGTACTCGATGTCATACTCGGAAAATTCTATTGCCCATTTAGCCAATCGGCCGGACTGCCTAGGACTATGCAATATACTCTGAAGTGGTTGACAAGTGAAAACGACGATAGCATGGGACTGGAAGTAAAGTCACAATTTTCGTGCCGAGACGATTACTGCGTAAGCTAATTTTTCCAGGGCAGGATAACGAACCTCGACTCCATCCAGAGTTTTGCTTATGTAGAAGATGGGTTTTTGTTTGCCACAATCCTCCCTTACTTGGACTCCGCTCACGGCTGCTGTTGATACTGCAATGTAAAGGTACAAAGTTTCACCGTTTTCGGTTTTAACTAGAATCGGCGGGGTGGTCAGGTATTCATTTAATTGTCTAAAGGCTTCTTCGCATTTGTCGTCCCAGTCGAAGCGCTTATTACTCCGACGTAGCTGGTAAAAAGGTAGACATTTGTTCATGGATCGCGAGATAAATCTGTTCAGCGCGGCGATTCTCCCGGTTAATCTTTGCACTTCGCGTGTATTCTTAGGTGATGGTAGATCTAGTATTGCCGAGATTTATTTTGGGTTTGCTTTTATTCCTCTCTGGGTGACGACGTAACCTAGGAATTCTCTAGAGGTTATGCCGAAGGTGCATTTAGCTGAACTAAGTTTCATTATGTATTTCTCGAGATTTTTAAAACAGTCTTTGAGATGTCTGACGTGATCCTTAGCAACCACAGATTTTACGAGCATTTCATCAGTATATACTTCCATGGTACGGCTGAGCTGGCTGGCAAAAATCTTGTTGACTAATTGTTGATAAGTAGCTCCTGCATTTTTTAACCCGAAAGGCATGATTTTGTAGCAGTAGGTTCCGCGATCGGTGATGAAAGCCGTCTTTTCTCTGTCGTTGGGGTGTATGTTGATTTGATTAAACCCGGAGAAGGCATCCATAGAAGACAGTAGCTGATTCTCAGCTGTAGATTCGACAAGTCGGTCGATATGAGGGAGTGGAAAGCAATCATTTGGTCAAGCTTTATTGATGTCGGTAAAATCGATGCAAACTCTCCACTTGTTGTTCTTCTTTTTAACAACAACGGGGTTAGCTAACCAATCAGGGTATTGAACTTCCATAATTGATCCGGCGCCGAGCAATTTTTTCACTTCGTCAGTTACCGTTTAAGCTTTTTCCGGGCCGAGTTTCCGTCTTTTTTGTTTGATTGGTTTGAATATAAGGTCGACGTTCAGCTTATCTGACGTGATTTTGGGGTCAATTCCCTTCATGTCTTCCATAGATCAAGTGAACAGATGTAGACTGTTTCTTAGGATTTTGACGAGTTCAATTTTAATATTTTCTGCGAGATCGCCACCGATGCTGATGACTCTTTCTGGATGCTGTTTGTCGATACTTACTTGTATAACTCATTCGGCCTTCGGTCTTCTGTGGTAGGGAGGCGTGGGTCCATGTCTTCATTTACCATGCATGATGATGCCGTTCTGATTTTCTTTTCGCTTATGTGGAAGGTTCTTGCTGTTGATTGGTCCCCTCTCAAGGTGAACATACTGACGGGTGTTGGGAATTTGACGCATTAATGGTAAGTCGAGGTTACGGCTTTCATGCTACGGATCCATGGTGTCCCGAGTATTACATTGTAAATAGTCGGGTTGTCGATGATCAAAACCTTGTTGTTTTTGGTAACGCTGCCGGTGTAGGTGGTTAGCTGTATCGTGTCGATGCTCATTCTTGCCAGAGTTTCCTTGAAGCTTACGTCGACGGTGCTGCTGCTGTCAACTAAAGCTTTTGTGAACGTGCTCTCGTGAATTTGCAGTGTCATGACTAGCGGGTCGTTATGCGGCGTGTGGAAGCTATGTAGATCGTCCGTTGTGAATGTAACTGGTGCCTTGCTTCGAGGAATGGTTGGATTTCGCCTTGCTGTTAATGCTCTTGCTTCTTGAAGTTTGATCGCTTCAAACGAATTGTTATCATCGGATAGTTTGCCTATGATCATGTAGATATTGTCGCTCGTTCCTTGTGCTCCTGTGGGTGGTGGAATCGCGGTGGTGATGGGGTTGCCGTGCTCATCAAGAGCAGGTGTTTCGTTGCATGTGGTGTTATCCTGCTCGTTGAGGATAGTGTTGCTGTCGTCGGGAAGACTCATTGCTTTGGACCTTGTGTTGCTAGTTTTTAAGAATTTATTCTCCTATTCCTCATAGTCGGTGCAAATTGTTGAACCTGAAAATCACCAATAGGTTTAAGTGAGTAACAGTTATGAGTTTTGGAAAATAAAATCTTTTTAGAAAGTTTGGAGTTTTTGGGTTTAGCTCTGCTGCTCTAGAATGTATGAGTTGTTCTTCTTGTTATATGGGGTTTTCTATTTATAAGGATAGAAGGTCCGTTATGGCGAACTCCTTGACCTTTTCTCTTTTGAGATAATTTCCGTATTTCGGATATGGAAATATCCGTTTCTGCCTGATTCAGTGGAGATTTTCCATTATCTCTAAATATTCATTTTGTCTTCATGTCGGCACGAGAATCCTTATCTTGATGGGTTTGGGTGGTTTGGATTATTGCTGGAGAAAGCCTTTTTAGAAATTTTCCCCTCCAACACAGAGTCATCATCTTTATAGCAAAGGTGAAGGCTTTTCAGCGATGGGAAGGAAGCCGGAGAAGGAACATCCACGAAAATCTTGTGGGAAAGATTCAATACCACGAGAGATTTGCACAACTAAAGGCTCTTAGGCAAGCTGACCGGATCTATGGGCCAACGAAGCTTGAATGTTAGATCATCCACACCGCGATTAACAGCGTTTGTAACCTACTTTACGACATCAGTATCAGTAGGACACCGTGGAACTAATTCCATACATAAGCTGTGTATTCTAGGTGCCTGGAGCAGTTGCATTGCTTTGTCAAGAAACCACCAAATGCTCGTTTTGTTTTCTTCATGACCATCACCATCATCGTCATCCTCACAATCAGCACCAGCACCATCATCATCCTTATTCCCCAACTTCTTCATCATCATCATTATTATCATCATCGAAGTTGTTGTCTTTGTACTCGAGTTTACCTAACATCATCCAGATAGAGAGCCATAGTTTCGACAGAAACATGGTGGCTACTGCGTCTTTTATTGGAACAAACAAAAATATCTTCAAAAGTAAATCTTCGGGCAACTCACTAATCATGTCTTCACAAACTCGATCGTCAACTCTTCCGCAAGTTTTTGCGGTTTGTGATATCTTTAGATCTTCACGAGTCACGAGATAGCAGAACCCTAATATTTAATGAAAACAAAAACTAAAATATTTCCCTATTGCAATTTGCAAGTAATTGTTTTGAACGGTAACACAGTTTAAATAATACAGACCAACCAGATTATGCAGTCAAGCATAACAAATACAAATTAATTTTCATATAATATTATTTACTATGAAATTAAGTTTTTAGGACAAAAATAATAATACAGTTGAAAAAAAATTTACACTCTAACATTTTTTATTGTATCTTTCCAATTTTCCTTTTTTAAAAAGTTTTCCTGAATTTTTTTTTTTGTTATTATTTTGTGATTTTTTTAGAAATGTCTTCCAAACACTAAAACTCAACATCGTTTCATATGCTTTCCTCAATTCATGAAGCCTGGATTGAGAGGAAAGGCTTCCTGAATTTGAGTTGTTGTATAAATTAACAAAAAAAAAAACAAGCTATATGATTTATAAAGGCTTTTCTAGATAAATATAATGGCTTCCTTAAGTTATATGTTTTAGAAAAGCCTTCCTAAAAATTTAGAAATATCATTCTAATTTACTCTCCTCTCCTTCCTCACTTAAGTGACACTCAAACCCTATTTTCCGCCGATTTTTTTTTTTTCCATTGTTGTTGTTTTAGCTCGGATTTTTTTTGAGATTTTCATCCAATTATGTCAGATCTATCTTCCACTATATGATTTTGAATGGGAAATATTGTGGAGTGAACAACGATTCGGTCACATCAACGCTTAATGGATCTGGTTCAACATCATCGGTGTAGATCCATCAGAAATCTCTGTTGTTTCTCCGACTTAATAACAAGATTTCATTGTAGGCTTGATCGGAATCAATGCTAATCAGATATATGATCTGCACAGTCCAGCGATGATGGTGAAACAAAGAAAAAAATAGTCGACAATTTTTTTATTTATTTGAGGGCAAAAAAGTCAAAGTATTAATGAAATATGTTAGGAAAGTAATGTTTTAGCGTGTTAGTGTATTTTATGAAGAATAAATTGTTTCGATGGTATCTGAAAAGACATTCTCTTAAACAAATAATTTTATTTTATTTAATAATATAGATTTTTAAGTATTTATTTGTTTTACGTCAACAGATTTCTTTGTATGTATAGATCATAAAATGAACAAAGGTTTTTTCTGCATGCATAAGATTTAGATTTTAGTTATTAATTGTGTGTTATGCATTTAAGTGGTGAATAGTGCAAAAATGCAGATTGTTTTGCATTATGAATTTGTATGCATTGATTTTTCTTTCCCATTCAAAGCTTTAGTTTTATGATCTACATATAAAATGAAAGCCTTTTATAGAAAGCAAAGTACATGAATACCTACAGATTTAATTTTTTTTTTTCAACAGTCTCATATTCTTAGAACGGTTCAGCAAGCCAAACTGGAGGAACTGAGTTTACATAATTTAGATGATAAAGGCATGTCCGAGCACTCCATGCTAGCTTGTCCGCCTTGTTCTGCGCGTGGGGTACGTGAACTAACGAGAAAGCAACGAACTCTCTTCTACTTGTCTCAAATTCTTCCAAGTGTAAAGTAAACGTCGGCCACTCCGTTGGGCTAGACACCATCTTCACCAAATCAGAACAGTCTGTGAGGAAGGTTACCTCCAGTCTTCTTACATCTTGCATATTGTGCATTGCCCATATCAGAGCTTCTAGTTCTGAATGTAGAGCTGATATGCTACGATGTACATTCCATGTGCCCATTAGTGATCCCAGTTCTCTGATCCCCTGACAATACCAACCCAATCCTGCATTGGGACTGGATTGTTTCTAAGACCCATCTGTGTGACATATTACACCATCCATATGTGTGATTGTCTCATCGAGTGATGACGGGGGAGCATCTGGACTATCTTGTTGTGCGGCCACCCAACCCTCTGCTCCAGCCGTTGCCAGACGCACCACCTCTCGGGGTTCCGATCAATGTTTGAAAATATTTTGTCATTCCGCATTTTCCAGATGTACCATATTAACCATGGGAAAACCTTCATATCTTCATTATTTGGAAGGTGCCAAAACAAATGTCCCATATTTGAGAACAGGCCTGCCGCCGGAAATCCTGTTAACAGGGTGGGGATTATTGATAATGCCCACACTTGAACAACCAGGGGACACTTAAAGACTGTATGATTAATCGTTTCATTTGCTGCCCCACATCGAGTACATTGAGGATCACAGTTAATACCTCAATTCCAAAGCCGTTCTATCACTGCTAGACATCCAGAAATAGCTTGCCATAAAAAATGTTTCATCTTTGGTGGACATTTGACCTACCACACTTGTGCCTGGAGTTTGCTCACATCTGGACCGTAAAAAACCTTTGTTATGACCTGTTGTTTCATATTTCGTTCCGTATCATACCCCGATTTAACTGTGTGACGTCCAGTTTTGGTAAACTCCACCCTATAATATCCTTCTGATGTTGTCTAGTAGTAGGCAGCCCAATGATTAGAGAAACATCCTTTGGGATGATCAGTTGGTGTAATAGTGGTATATTCCACGTTGAAGTTAATGGGTCAATCAATTGGTTGACTGTTAGCTGAGGGTAGAGATTATACCCTTTGCTGATTGCTGATCTTGGGATTGAGTCAGGAATCCACAGATCATTCCATACGGATATGGAGTGACCGGAACCAACTCTTTTGATGAGTCTTTTATGTACCAGAGATCTAGCTGATGTGATACTTTTCCACCCATACGACGCAGAGTATGTCCGTATTGGGTCTAAGGGTGTACCATTCCGAAAATAACGTCCTTTAAAAACCTTTGCAAGTAGGGAATCTGGGAACTCTATAAGTCTCCACAGCTGTTTAGCGAGTTGCACACTATTAAAGTCCTCAAACCCTGAAGCCAAGGCCACCTTCTATTTTCTGTTTGTAAAATTTTGTGCCAAGCTAACCAATGCATACCTTGTGTCTGTCCATTTGTACTCCACCAAAGTTTCGCCAATGTACTAGTTAACTTAGTAGTTAGCGCTTTTGGGAGCCTAAAACATGAAATTACAAATGTCGGGACTGCTGATGCCACTGATTTAATAAAGATTTCCTTTCCTTCATTTGATAGAAGTCTGGCCATCCAATTATTGACCCGCTTTTGTTGCCTCTCCAAGAGAAACTTTAAAAATTTTATCTTTGCGCCCCCCATACTTTCCGGTATCCTCAAATATGTACCCATACCTCCAATTGAGGTAATGCCTAATGTATTATGAATCATAGTCATTATGGTTGGATCCACTGTATGTCCAAATTGTACCGAGGATTTGTCTAAATTTATCTGTTGGCCTGAAGCTACTTCATATTGTCTGAGTATATGAAGTAAGGCCAATGCCTTCAACTGACTTGTCTTATAGAAAAAAGGCTGTCATCCGCAAAGAACAGATGAGAAACCGATGGACTAGCCCGAACAATCTGCATTTCTGTAATTGCTTTGTCCCTTTCTGCCTTTTTTAGATTCGAAATCAAGACTTTCATATATAAGATAAACAGATATGGATATAATGGATCGCCTTGCCTGAGTCCCCGTTTGGGTGTTATTTGCCCCCGTGGTTGACTATTAATAATAACCTTATACTGAACTGATTGAATACACCACATTAGCCAGGTAATCCACTTATCCGCAAACCCCATTTTCTTCAGTAAATTCTCAATGAATGACCATTCCACACGATCATAGGCTTTGCTCATATCAGTTTTAACCGCCATAAATTTTTTTTGGCAGGAGTTTTATGTTCGCAGACCATGAAACATCTCTTGTGCAATCAAAATATTATCCAAGATAAGTCGTCCTGGCACAAAGGCTGATTGAGTTTCTGAGATTAATCTTGGCAATAGCTGTCGTAGTCGTTGACATAGGACCTCTGATATTATTTTATAACCAACATTGCAGAGACTAATGGGCCTTAATTTCATCATCTTGGTCGCTCGTTCTGTCTTTGGAATAAGACATATATTTGTTGCATTTAACCGTTTATTAAAGGTACCCTGTATGAAAAATTCGTTAACCAAACTAACCACATCACTCTTTATAATATCCCAAAATTTTTGGAAGAACAAGGTAGTCATGCCATCAGGCCCTGGGACCTTATGTGGATGCATCATAAATAATGCGGTCCTGACTTCTTCTTCCGTCGCCGGTTTGACAAAGGCCAAATTCTCTGTCTCAGTTATAACCGGTATTATTTCTGACAAAATTGGTTGGTGAACTAGTCTCAAACAATGTGTCAAAATATTCCACCGCAACAGATTCCACCTTTACTTCACCTTCAACCCAGACACCTTGTTTGTCATGCAATCCTACAATCCTATGATTGTTTGCCTCTGCTTTGTGGTTGCATGGTAGAACTTTGTATTCAGATTGCCACACTTATTCCACATGTTTCTACTTTTCTGTTGCCAGTATAATTCCTCATCCCGGTAAGCCATTTTAAGTTTACATGTTATCTCATTGAGTTCCTCCTGTGACCGACTGTCATCATCATGTATCTCCTCGAGAAGTTTCTATAGTTCCTCGATTGTGTTGTGTCTCTCTTATAAGGTTGATTATCCTTTCGCCATTTTGATATTTCATGTCGACACATATTTATTTTTTCAACTAAATTATTCCTTGAGGCGGAATGCCCACAATACCAACCCCTTGTAATTGCCTATATGAGACCCTCCTGTTCAATCCACTTTTTATCAAACCAAAACTGGCAACGTTTTTAAAATTTTTTGGTCTCAAGTGTAGCCACAATTGAGCGATGATCTGACCCAATCATCCTTAAATATTCGACATATGAAAACGGGAATAGGTCATGCCATTCGCTTGTTGCAAGACTCTTATCCAATCTGCACCGGACATTGTGTCCATTTCGTCTCCCCTTCCAAGACAGCGTAATTCCACGGTTCAAAAAATCTATTAGTCCACAGTCAGCAATTATGGTGTTGAAACTAATAAAGGAAGACACTGGTCAAATAGTTGCACCTTGTTTTTCATGATTACCCGTTAATTCATTAAAA